CTTGAGCTATCCGTTTCAAAAAAAATTGCCATCTGTTCTAATGAGCAACTTGCCAAATGTCACAAACTTTGAAAACATGAGTTGTTTATTTAACATCTCATGAATAGTGACAGTTCTTTCCCAGTCCTTAGTCATTTTTGCTTTTATAACATTTGATTATCGATACACAGTATTTTCATTCAAGGCTTAAGTTTTATTCAACAAGTTTCCCGAAAATGTTTTGATCTCTGACAGTGTGCAGATATCAAGGCTCTTTTTTTTTTGAGGTTTAAAAGATGATAAGCTTATCTCCCATGGGAATATGCTGTCGGCTTGTTCATAGCCTGCACCGGGAAAAAATACCCTGCAAACGCAGACATATTTCCGGCTGTGCAGCAGGGGTCTTCACAGCCATCATCTTCATTTACCATTTTCCTAATTTCCCAGGAAAAAATCTTTTGACTCGGCAGAGACTTGAAATCGAACTTCATGGGGGCTTAACAAAGTTGTGCCTTTCGACATCTGCTTTGACACTCGCAAGTTATGTTATTGTAATGTGGTGCAAGGCGATGTTTGTCTGTTTGATTATGTGCTTTAAATTTCTTTCAAGATTGACTATAAAATATGCGGCTAATTCTATGCATAGTGGGCTTGTTACTGTAAAGAGAATTTTTATGATCTGATATCAAGGTACATGTTATTCACGTGATGATATTTATTTGTAGGTGATTGAAAACACACATAAGCGAAATTTGATACTCGTGCCTTTCTGAAAAAAAACGTGACACAACTTGAAGCGTGATTTAAATCGCATGATTGCGTGATTTGAAAGTCTGTTGATATTATAATTAGCGTAGCCTGAATTCAATGCTAAAGTAACACCAAGAATGGGTGAAACTCTGCCTTCTTTGGCGGAGTATTTTGCTGATTCAATCCTGGGTTCACTTAACTTTATGTGTGTTGTAGCAAAATCCACGCGATCGTTAAATTAGCGCCTGCTTCTTTGTTTACTCAAATAAAAAAAGATATGTATATATTGCTCACACTCAAGGAAACGAGAATTACTGGCACGTCATGGAAATTTGTTACTATAACTAGCACTTTAAGTTTAAAAGATGCATATAGTGGGGAAAGCGTGACGTACTCCGTATGGCAGTGTTTTGACGAGCGAGATGTTTATAAAGTAATTGCGGGAGTCATTATTTACATTGCGTTACGCTAAATATGTATTGTAGAGATGTTTGCATGACTTTATTTTGCGAGTGAACGTAGACGACAACGGATTTTGATTTTTCCCCGGCGAAAACAAATTTGCGTTATTCTTAAAAAGCTTAGACTTTCAACGCAGAATTAGTTTTATTCAAGGTTTTTGATTCAATCAGTTCTCAGATAAGAACCATAATTTGACCTTGTTGTTATTCATTGTTATGTATATACTGTAATTTCATTCAGAAGTTTTCGATAGCTGCTATTCAGCCGTTCAGCCTTTCACAACCAGCCGTTCAAAAACAAACTCCAGCAATTCAGCCATTCGACTTCTGCTGTTCAAAAATTTTCGTCAGTCGTTCGATTTCTGCCGTTCAAAAATTTTCTTCATCTGTTCAGCCGTTCGACTTCATCCATTCAAAAATTTTCGTCAGCCGTTCGACCTCATCTGTTCAAAAATTTTCTTCAGCTGTTCAATGTATCCGTTTTGAACAGTCTGTGGACCTGTTTCTTATCCATTCACTTGCCGTGTGTTCAGCCGTTCAAATGGATACCATCAAGGAACGTTTTTGTGAGAGGTAACATTTTCCTTCATATTTCAAAACAAAAATTTCAGCAAGAGAGGTGCACATTTTGAGTTTTTTTCCAGCGAGTTTTCAATGTTTTTCCCTGAACTTTGGAGAGAACGTTGCCTGATAATCAGGCAAAAAAACCGTGTCGCGGTATTCTTACTTTTTTGCTTCTTTCAAAAGTTATGACTATTTTAGTGAAGAGAATGTGTGTTTTCTCAAAACTCAAAGTTTAACTGTGTGTCAAAAACAAACCAGACAAGACATCAAAATTTTCTGACACTGTTTTTCAGAGAAAGGTGTCAAGAAGGCAAGGCGATGTTGATTGCGTCCTCCTACTCGAAACCAACCGGAAACAAACTTGATTGGTGAACCTCTGTACTTTGGGAAATAGGGCACAATATTTGGAAAACCTTAACTTTTTTTATTGTAGTAAATATACCCTCGCAATCTACAATATTCTGAAGCTTTCAGAAAATGTATACTTTACTGGGGTTTGCGTGAAACGTGCGAATGTAAATCAGTGTCAGAACATTTGCCTTTATGCACATTTGCCTTTACGCCCAAAAGGAAGGGTTCCCAAACATATTACTTAATCTGAATTTTTTAATTGATTTAATATAGTTTTAAAGTTAATTCTCCTTACGCTATGCAAAGATTTTGTTTCATTTCTAAAAGTTCAGAATGTGGAAGAATTTCAAAATATTGGAAAATTTGGTAATAAAATTGGCAATGAAACTGAACAATGTTTCGACCTCTCTGACCTCTGACCTCACAATTTCACAAAAGGAATGCATAGCTATATTTCCAACCTTGGCTTAAATCGTAACTCTTTGAAAAAAGCTGAAGTTAATACAAAACTGCATTAATTTTTATCAGCGCTTGTACAGTTCACACTGACTACCAGCATTACTTCAATAAGACCAAGCGAAGCACATGAAAGCCACATGGAGATAGTTTTTCTTTTTCTTTTGTGTTTGTTTTTCTATTTTTCTCTTATTTTGTTTTTGTTTACCTTTTTACTTGGCATTGTTTGTAATAGGAAGAAAAAACTATCTAAAATGTAACTGAATTTGCAACCTACTGAATAGTTTTAATCAGTCTCACCAGTAGGCTGGCGCCAGTAACCGGAAATGAAATTTCATCTCCTTAGCAACCTGTGTGAAAGCGAGCATGAATTGGTTAATGGGCCCTCAACAGCTTCGTAGCATGCTTTAAGCCAGGTAGAGTTCTTTAATGTGTGATATTTAATACATGTAAGCACTTGTTTTGACTAGAAAATGTAAGTCACTTTAAGTGTTGTTAGGCTTTTTTGCTGTATTACATTTTGTTAGTATACAATTTGACCTACACTTGTACATGTAAGTATACAATGAAAGACTCTGTCGACCAGAATGCTTTACGCCCGTTTGTCTTTGTTTTGATTCTGTTGCTGAAGAAAGTGTCAGAAAAATCTAAAGGATTTGGGGTATTTGGTGGCCTCAAATTTGATATACTGGTATGAGCAGGTATAATATGTTTGCTTTAGATACATACATACATAAACTTTATTTAAACTCGAATTTCGGAGTAGCTTGACAAGCTAATATTTCCGAGAACAAATTATTTGGTAACGACAAATTAAAATAGAAATTGCTATTTACATATTTACAATTGACTTATATTAACTAATTATAAAAT